ATGAAAACGATAAAAACTGATTTTTGAGTGGGTAATGTTTATTATTCTAATCGCTTAATATTATTTAATCTTATTTATCTTTATTATTAGTGTCGTTTTGCTTACCTCATCCTGTTGTACGGCGGTCGATTCTACTTGGTCATCGTTTGATTCTTGTCTGAAATATCGATATAGCGATAGTTTTTTATTTATTTTTAGTGGTAGTAATTATTATTTTGTCACATTCGTGAAAATATTTGGCTGCAACTTGCGAGTGTCCGAGGGGACACTGAGTTTTGCGCGCGGAATTTGAAATGAAATTTGTGGAAGCGTCACGTCACCATAGATCTGATGCAGCGCTCTTACTTGTTAGAGTTGCAGCGCTCTTACTTACTTGTTGGAGTTTTTTTTTTTTTTGAGAAATCGCTTCAAGAGTAGTAAATAACGATAATAATAGTAATAATATTAATAATAATAGGAATAAATATTTTACAAACATTTGGGCAGTGTCTAGGCTGTTGGCCCCGTGTTGTTGGACCGCAGCAGCGCACATGACGCGGTACACCCACACACGCACGCCTCCTCTGGAATTATTATTATTGTTATAAATATGTGATGTTGAATATGTAATATTAATTAGCGCAGTAATTAATAATGTACATTATTAATGTTGCAATAAGAATAATTAATAACTAAGAACAAACTGACTGTTCAGTGCGGATATTTGAGATGAAATCGAATTCGGGGCCGTTCTGACCGAATAAGTCCCGTTTATCTACCAGTCCGCCGACGTAATATGAGCCCAAGGCAACCAAATCGGTGCCGACGTAGATTTTACTTGGAACTTTTATACTACAACAGCGCAATAACACACTGAAATTTTTTAAAATATCGTTATTGTTCGCGTATGATTGAGTGTGTTTGATTTAATCTTTATTTTTTGAAGTGCGATATATCTAATAATGATAATAGTGGATGTATTGCAATAGTTAAAAGTATGCACCTCTGTCCATTGACAGCCCATTTCATACCAGAATAAATTTCGCTATCAGATTTGCAGCTGGACTGTGCATCGAAACACATTTGACCTGAATTG